CTCTCTCTCTCTCTCTCTCTCTCTCTCTCTCTCTCTCTCTCTCTCTCTCTCTCTCTCTCTCTCTCTCTCTCTGTCTGTGTGTGTGTGTGTGACACTAGCCGCGCACGCTCGTGAATCGTTGCAACCACTAGCGAGATGACAGGGGGCGAGAAGCCCAGTTCCCAGTAACGTTGACCACCCTCCCCCTCCGCTCCTTCATCATCTTACGTTATTTGAATGCCACGTGGCTGTTCGCTCCGGCAATCCACAAACAAGTATAGTGCCCACTATTCATTCGTGCACATACTGACATGTTGAACCTAGCAAGATCGCCACGTCGGACGGCGGCAACCACATGTTTGTTGTTTGTTGTTTGTTGTTTGTTTGTTCACCATTTCTCCGTTCCCTTCATTCTCCGTATGTGGTCCAATACTCTACTCGACGTAGTTACTGCCCTCGTCATCTGTCGCCTCGGCGGCCGGAACCCCGCCACGGTGTCCACGAGAGAATCGTCCCACTCCGACCCTCTCTCGCACACGTGTTCCGTTCTCGCACACGTGTACCGTTGTCGCACACGTGTACCCTTCTCGCACACGTGTCGCCGCTGGGCGAAAAAGGCTGGCCTGCCTCCCTACCACGTGGAACAGGCTTGCCAGACCATCCCCCCCAGAAGGCAGCAAGAGCGCACATATGCAGAGGCCTCCCGTGAGAAACAACGCTCCCTGTCCACGTGCAGAGGCCTCCCACCAAAAACAACGCCCCCGGACAGCAGGTACAGGTGGTATCCCATGGGCAGAGGCCTCCCCCCAAAAACAACGCCCCCGTACAGCAGGTACAGGTGGTATCTGGTGTTACGTCCGCCTCCAGCGTGGTCACGCACAGACTATTCTCAGCAATTCTGCAAGCCGGTGGCCCTGTCTGAGTCAACTCACAGCTGAAAATAGTCCGTCCAGTCTGGAGGTTGAGGGCCTCGCCACACTACCGTCGAAACGAAAAAAGAAAGAATGCATACCCCCGAAAGTGGTAAGATGCATCATCCGTTGCTATTCGTAGTGACGGATGCATCTTGCCACGCTCTGCGTGAAGACTCGAACTTTTTTCGTGGCGAGGCCCGGAGAGCACCGGTCCCTCCAAGTCTCTTTGTCCGCAGGCCCTGGCAACACATGCCCACCCTGAACGAGCCCAGTACCCGGGGCCAAGTCTCTGTTTGTTTGTTTTTCTTTTTTCTTTCTTTCTTTCTTTCTTTCTTTTTTTTTTTTTTTTTTT